CAACATGTAATTTAACTTGAATTTGAGATCTTAAATTTTTATTAAAAAAATTATTATTAAATTATTTAAGTAATCCACAAATACTTATAAAATTAGTTGAGTATTTTTTTTTTTATAAGGGCAATGATTAGTAGGTTAGTATTATTAGATTTTAACAACTGGAGATTCAATTCTCAGATCAGGTGAACAGTCCACCAACCTCAATAAATAAAGCGCGGCCCTAGTCTGCTTAGTGGAGTTCAATTAGTTGAGATTTGTAATCTATAGGGAAGTTTTTTCTTTGTAGCGCATGTGATGGACCATAGGACCAAGTCCAAAGTCAACCAAATAATGACAAGGGCAACTTCTCGTGTGGGAAATTTTATTACTTAATTGTCAACATTATAGAAAAAGGAGAGAACCTCTATTACTCCATGTAATTCAGACTCCTTAGAAATTTAAGTGGAATTATATAATTCAAGCGGACGACCAAGTTTACCATGTATAAAGCAATCCAACAACGAAGGTCATTTGCAAGAAGTTGTGGTGGTTTAGTTGGCAATATAAATTTTTTTACAATTTTTTATTAAAATTTGTTGTACTTATGATTTTGATGATTACAAAACACATTTGAGTGACTAATTGGTTTATTTAAGTGTGTAGTTAAGTTGCTAAAAAATTGCAAGTAAACTTGGATTGCACTAAAAATAGACCAAAAGGATCCAAAATGTGTAGAGAGCCGGCTCTTAAAAGTTGCAGCCGGCTTTGGTGAAATGGAAGTGCAGAGAGCCGGCTCTGGAAGCTACAGCCGGCTCTACGGGCAAAAATTTGAAGACAGTTGTTTGGCGCGCGCGGAGAAAAGACGCAAAGCCGGCTCCAACTTTATAGCCGGTTGTGAGGGTGCATTTAATGCACAACGGTCGACTCTTTTGAATGTATTTAAAATCGGAATTCCAAAGCCGGCTCAACGTCTTGCAGCTGGCTCTCGAGGAAAACAGAATGGCCTGCAAACCTGGATAGCCGGCTCTGGAAGTGTAAGCCGGCTCTTCTGACAATCCTGTAGCTCGAGCTTTGTGTCCTGCGAGCATTTAATGACCCCCAACGGCTAGAAACGGCTATTTTCGAGCAAGGGGCTATAAATATGGTTGGTAACAGATCTGAGGAAATTTGGAGAACATTATATTGAATATCTTTACCCACCAACTTATGCTTTAACTAGAGATTTTGATCTTTGAGTGATCATTGCTTGTAATCCTCTTCTTGTGCTATTAGTGAGTGATCTTGGGGGTGTGTTGATTCCTTCAAGAGTGATCTATAGAGAGGATCTTTGGGGTTTATCTTGTAAAGGAGTGAGATTTGAGAGAAACACCCTTATTCTTGTAAAAGGATTGAGTGGCTCCTTTAAGCCACCCTTGTTGTTGTTAGTGAAGAGTGTGGAGGAAATCCTTGGTGAGTGAAGCCAAGGTAGAGGACTAGGCTTCAAGTGGTTGGACCGAACCTCTATAAATTATTGAGCAAGCTCTTCTTCTCTACTCTCTTTAATTTTGGTTTTGTGGTTGCAAAAAGGAGAGAATTTTTGGAACTCCAATTCACCCCCCTCTTGGAGTACATTGGGTCAACAAAATTCAATTTTTTTAGAGAAATTAATGAGAATATAATTCTTCATAAATTTTTTAATTTTAGTGTTCATTACCTATCTTTGATCGAATTTCATACTGAAATCTTAACGTGGATGACATATTTTTAATTAAATTAAAAAAAATTAATCTTAAAATGCACACAAATTAGTCTAAAACACCTTATGCTAACTAGAAAAAAATCAGAAAGGTCATTGGCCATGAACCACCTTCTTGCTGCCTATATATAATACGTTATATAACTCTGTCTCAGCTTATTAAAAAAATAAAAACACAAGACTTAGGGCACAAAATTACGCAAATGAAAGGTTAAAACGTCATTTTAATTCTTCTATTTTAATAAAAAGTTCTCTTTTAGTCAATTTACTTTTTTTTTTTTAATTTTTAAAGTTTGTTATTTGATCCCTTTTTATATCTCTTTATTATTTTTTTCATACATAGTATGCTAAATAATGAAAATTTAGAAGTAGAAGGAATAAAAAGGGACTAAAAAAGTCTCATTTGATCCTTCTACTTGAAAAAAAAAACTTTTTTTTTTAATATCTAATCGTGATCTGCTATGTACTAAATTTTAATCACTATTTATATCAAACAGACTACTACAAAAAGCTTACTTTCCAACATTCTGCACTGGAAAATGTTGATGGGAAAAAAAATGCATAGAAAATAGTTATTTTCCAGCATAAAAAATGCGTTGGAAAAAAAGGGATAACGGCAACCTGTTTTAAGTTGTCGTTACCACTTATTTTCCAACGTTGAGCGTTGAAAAATAGTTCTTACCTTAAATGGACATATAGCACTTTATCATTTTCTAGTGCTGAGTGCTGGAAAACAATGTTCAAAAAATTAAAAAAAAATATATTTTTACATAACTATTATTATACACAATTTGTAAATATTTATAACTACAAAATAGTATTTAAGATAAATAAATTTACCATAAAACAATATTATATATATTAATCAAGATTATATATACAAAAATCTAAAACATACACTAAATAAACATACAACACATATAATAATTAAAATTAAAGAAATTAAATAGATAAAATGTTAATG